CCCCCCCCCCCCTCTGCCATACATTATGAACGCAACCTTAGTGTAAGCATGGAGATATGTATATTCATGGCACAGACAAAAATTGTCTTCTTTCTTCTTTACTTACGATAGTTTCTTAAATTTCTTAAATACATTTTGGAATTCTTCTGATGTTTTTCTAGCAAGAATTGGTTTTGCAGTTCCTGATCTACGTGTGCCACTAAAAGCAAAAACAAAAATTTGAAGTAAGAAAATATAGATTGTAGCTAAATAATTTACTGACTCCTTTCAATGTGTACTTTTCTTAAAAAGGTTTGGCTTTCATTAGCATCATCTTGTGCAATAAGCCCCATTTTCATGACAAAATCCTAAGTGTTTTTCAATTATTCCAAGATTTCTTTCAAATAAACTAGGATAAGTAATGTTGAATATGACATTTGAACAACTAAGAATGACAAACCTGGACATTTCTTTGAAAAGGCCGAGCCAACTTAAGTGCTCCACACTCTAGACCCGAAAAAGAAAGTCAATATTAAGTGGCCATTATACAAATTAAAATAAATAACAATCAGAAATCTCGATTAAGGTGAAAGATTTCTTATGACTTGGGTCATCTGGTCATAACAACAGGAAATGCTCTATTATATGTAGTTTGAAATGTGAGTTTGATAGAGGGAAAATGAAAAATGAAAAATGGGAAATGAATGAGAATTAGAATAAAAAACACATTTTCAATGTACTAGTGAACAATTTAATGTGAGTTTTGAAAATGGGAAAACAAAAAACTGGGAAAGAGCTTGGACTTAAAAGAACAATTTTCAATGTAACAATTTTTCTTGTAGCTGAGATTTAGAAAATTAGAAAAAAAATTGATTAAAAAACCATCATATTATTGTTGTTGCTGTTATTTCTTTTAAAATATCTATTCAGATTAAATACCTCTAGTTTATCTCTAAAAGAATCCACTTTTGACTTGATGTCCTTTACCACTGATGGAGTCTCTCCATTCTCTATCAATATTTCTCTTTCCAAATTCTCTAGTCTATTTTGAGTAAAGAAAATAATTATTGTCAAGCAATCAATTCACCCTCAGAGCAATTTTAAAAACAAACAATACTAATATAGAGTGCAGACTTTCCAGTACTTCAGCTTTTTTCCCCATAATTTAGCCAATCGATCATCTAATGCTTGGTTCGGGAATGGAATGGAATCAGAAACAGTCCATTTATGAAATTGCAAGTGAAAATTGCTCACTATAAGTGCAAGCTGATTCTAATTTTACTGCTTCCGCTACTATTTCTGACTCTGTTGTCTGATTTTCACTACATCTGATCAAAAGCTTCTTCCAATTCTGATCCCAGGTCTGATTCCAACTCTAATTTTGTTACTAAAGAAAACCCTGGGGGGGGGGGGGGGGGGGGCTGATCCC